GGGAAGCCTGCTTCTCCCTCTCCCACTCCCGCTGCTTGTGTTCCCTCTCTCGCTGTATCTCTCTCTGTCAAATAAATAAAAAAAAATCTTAAAAAATAAATAAATAAATAAATTGGGAATTTTTGCTTAGTGGATGTTTCACAAAATTTCAAAATTTACATAAAGAAAAGTCAATCTCCCCAAACTCATTTTCCACTGGCAAATACCAATTATCTTTCAAAAAAGGTATCTTATCAGGGCGCCTGGGTGGCTTAGTCAGTTAAGCATCTGCCTTTGGCTCAGGTCATGATCCCAGGGTCCTAGGATGGAGCCCACTCGGGGCTCCCTGCTCAGTGGAGTCTGCTTCTCCCTCTCCCTCTGCCCCACCCCCCCAGCTCGTGTGTGCTCTCTAATAAATAAAATCTTGAAAAAAAGAAAAAAGTATCTTGTCTCTCTCTCTCAGCTAGAATATAAATTGCAAGATGGGTTTTGGGACACCTGGGTGGCTTAGTCGACGAAGCGTCTGCCTTTGGCTCGGGTTGTGATCCCAGGGTCCTGGGATCAAGTCCTGCATTGGGCTTCCTGCTCCTCAGGGAGCCTACTTCTCCATCTGCATCTGCCTGTCTCTCATGAATAAATAAAATCTTGAAAAAAAGAGAGGGGTTTTATCTAGTTTGTTCAGTGTGTCACCTAGAATTGTGCACATAATAGGTGCTCAGTTAATATTTACTGAATTGACAATTGCAAATTCAGATAAAATCTATGTAATTTTCTCTGCGCTAGATGCTACAGTGTGATAGCCATACAAAACTCTCTCTACTCAACTTTTTTTTTTTTTAATTTTATTTATTTGAGAGAGAGAGCACAAGAAGGGGGGAGGGTGAGAGGGAGAAGCAGACTCCCCGCTGATCAGGGAGCCCAATGCGGGACTCGATTCCAGTACTCCGGGATCATGACCTGAGCCGAAGGCAGTCGGCTCAACCAACTGAGCCACCCAGGCACCCTCTACTCAACTTTTTACCTACAAAAGGCACAATTCATTTGGTTCAGCCTGATTGTTTTCAAAAAGCTTTCTAGAGTATATTATGCAGCAAAGTGAACAGACAGTACAAAAGCTTAGATAGATATGGAGAAATTTTTTCTCATAAGAAAAATTATTTTATGAAAGTTACCAAAGGTCCTATGTTAAGATGTTCTCAAGAATCGCCTATAACACTCCCAACATTTCAAAAATTAAACTAGGTTAGGGGCGCCTGGGTGGCTCAGTTGGTTAATCTCAGGTCATGATCTTAGGGTCATGAGATCCATCTGGGCATTGGGCTCTGCACTGGGCATGGAGCCTGCTTAGGAGTCTTTCTCCCTCTCCCCCCCCTCAATAAATTGCAGCTCCCCACTGGCTCCCGCACGCTCTCTCTGTAAAAATAAATAAATAAATAAATAAAATTAAACTAGGTACTTTTTAAGAGATCCATTTTCACTTTTTCCATTTAAACCTATTCCCATTTTGGTGTTTATATACATACATGTAAATATGCAAAGTGTCTTAAGAACATGGACTATATTTCTCTTTATTAGCTAATTCCGATTTCATGTAAATGTTCAAATATCTAATTAGGTCCAATTCTAATTATTAGTAATGAGTAAAATAAACTCCAGTTTCGAGAGATCATGTTAAAAAGTTAATCTGGACACAGTACCTTTTCCAGTACTCTAACCTATCAGGCTAAAAAAGTAATTAATATGTAGTTATTCCACATGTATTTTCCTCATCATTAGAAACACACCTAACATTAATACATTTCTTTAAGCAGATTACTTCAAAACGTATCTTAAACATACTTTTCTAAAAATTTACTTAATTGGGATTCCTAAAGAGTAACAGGAAAAGCTTAGTCAATGTTTTTCTAATAGCCTTTCCTTCTACATTTCCAAGAAAAATCCAGACATATGCAGATTTACTAATGTACTTAAAGAGAAATAAGTTTCAAAATATGTCCAAACAAATCTGCTTTACATTTCTAGAAATTAAAAAAAATCTACTTAGGGCGCCTGGGTGGCTCAGTTGGTTAAGCGACTGCCTTCGGCTCAGGTCATGATCCTGGAGTCCCGGATCCAGTCCTGCATCAGGCTCCCTGCTCGGCAGGGAGTCTGCTTCTCCCTCTGACCCTCCTCCCTCTCATGCTCTCTGTCTCTCATTCTCTCTGTCTCAAATAAATAAAAAAAATCTTTAAAAAAAAAAAAAAAAATCTACTTAAACATAATTTCCAACTTTTATAAATAATTTTGTCTAAACATTCCAAAAATCAGAACGCTTGAAAATATATGAAACAAAGAATATGGGTTATAGAAAATTTTAATATCAAATAAAGTACAATTTACATGATTAAAAGTTTTGATTTCCATATAACGTATTCTACTTAAATGGTGGAAGAGACTAACAAATAACAAAGCACAGTTTCCATGTCACATCAAATGAAATGCTGATGGCCTATAAACTAGACAATCTGCCATGAATGACAACCAGCGAGGGAAGCACACATCAGCAACTTTCTTTCCAAGCTATCAAAAATGTCAAGTTCATATTTTTCTTGTTTGTGATCCCAAAACCGGCAGCATCTTCATTTCATCCACTCTGTTCTTATGTATTTGAAAAGCAGGTGTTATCCATCGACCACATGAGCACTGTTCACCATACCAATTGAAAGAACCCAACTTGGCATTGCATTTGGGGCAAAGAAGCTGAAATAAAGGAACTGTGTTACTTCATTCACTCACTTTTATACAAGACAAATAATTATCACTGGCAATATAGAATATAAAAACAGGTAAGACTCAGTTAAGCACTGGACTCTTGATTCAGGCTCAGGTCATGATCTCAGGGTCATGAGATCGAGCCCCACCTTGGGCTCCTTAAGCAGTGGGGAGTCTGCATCTCTCCTACCTTTCCCTCTGCCCCTCCCCCTCTCTCCCTCTCTAAAAACACAAACAAACAATACAAAATAAAAACCAGGTAAGACATGGCTCCTACCTTCAAGGAGTTTTATGATCAAATCAGCAAGATAAAATACAACGGCAATTTACAATAACAGATGGTGGGCTATGATAATTGTGTAAGAAGCACGTTGTATGCTGGGAGAAGGACCAGATTAATCCCAGTATGGGGGCGGAAGGTAAAGGTTGAGATATGATGCAAGATTTCAGGATGTGGTATGTGTTGCCTTCTAAATCAGTCTGCAGCTTAATATCCCAAACTAAGATCATCATGGCCGAAGACTAGGAAAGCATGTTAGGAGCCTCATGTCAGATCAGTATTGATATTGGTAGCATGTAGGCTAGGCCTCAGATTCATGGCTATTTAAAAACAAACTGATACTCCAGTTAAATAGATTAAAAAAAAACCTGAACATGTCTATTATATTGTATTCTAATGTATTTAGAGCATTATTTTTTAAGTTTAGCTTGTTATTCTGTGCATGACATGAGGCAGGGAGTCTTATTTTTAATCTTAGATGATATAAGCTCTGGACATAAAACTCAGAAACCAAATTTGATTACAGAAGTATCTTAAATTTTAATATGACAAAATATACCACAAAGCTGAAAGAAGCAACAGACAGGAGAAGATATTTGCAATATAGTAGAAAAATCATTAACATCTAGACTATATAAAGAGATCCTATAATTCAGTAAGAAAAAGGCAAAATCCATAGAAAAATGGACCAAGGATGTAAAGGAAATTTATAGAAAAAGAAGCTATAAACAGCTGATAAATACATAACAATATTGGTCCTCAGCAGTAGTCATGGAAATTCAAATTAGAACATTTTAAGAAAAACATTTTTCATCTCCCAGATTGACAAAACTTTAAAACCAGTTTTAAAATACTCATTATGCCAAGGGTATGGAGAAATGGATACATGCATTCAATGTTAGCGAAAAGCAAATTTGTATAAGCATTTTTATTGTCAGGGTGGAATATTAGCAATATTTAAGACATACACACTCCACAGGACAGGGATTCCACTTTTAGGTCTATAGGAAAATTCAAATAAGTGTACAGAGAAGTATGCACAAATGTGACGTAGAATCTTCCACAAAAATGCCTTCATCTTATATGTTTTCCAGGCTAAATAAGAGCAGCAAGCCAAAAGCACAAGCCACAAAAGAAAGCAAGCAAGAAAGAAAAAAACAGATAAAGTGTATTTCAAAATTAAAAACCCTACTGCTGCAAATGATACCACCAAGAACGGGAAGTGACTGCTAACGGGTATAGCATTTATTCTGG